AAAGATCCCAAGGTGCTTCTGACGTTCCGTAATCGAGAAGACGCGGACCAGGTATTTTGACGGCTAGCTCGTTGCTTTGATGAGTAACTTATATGTGGTCAAACTATGTAATTTACAGGCAATCGTGGATGGTGGGTTGTTCAAGGGAACGATGCTCGATGTGACTTGGCACTGGCGGTCCGACGGATCTCGAGAAAATTCGTCACTGAGTGCGGACAAGATGCTAGCCAGTATACCGCAGAGTGAGGTGCGTCGCTGGAAAAGTCTCTGTTTTCACAAAGAAGAATTGTTGGACGCATTTGTTAACGTTCGCCCGCAATATCGCCCTAGTAAAAGTAAATGTATGTATTTAACTAGTTACCCAACAAAGACAGTTGTCGCGAAATAGAAACAAATAGGCCTTAAAAGCCTATGAAAGTCATAAACAAAAGACATTGACTCCCATGTTTTGTGATTAAATTATTTTCATTTGTATTACCGGAAACTTGTGGAAGGGTCCCCTCGAACCGTTCTCAATTCTTTTCACCCACGGGGGTTCTTTCTGTAGAGCCTACAAAGATTATCCTGGTTCAAGTCATCATTTTAAAATGTTACACACTTTTTGCTGCTGGAGCACTGTTCGAGATATGGGGAGGATTCTGCCTTTCACCACTTTCATGCGTATCTTAGGATTTTTTGGTGCTTTTCATAGTGAAGGGCTTCGCTCTTTGGTATAATTTTTAGAAAAGCGGAGTTGATCTTAGAACGTTTATATGTACATAAGAATGCCAACGCGGTACCATCAGGCTTGGCCAGCTTCAAAAGAGCGTAAGGTCAAAGTTATTATCTTTGCACCGAAAATATTATCTGAAACTGCTTTCCTCTTATCGGAAGATTTTTACTGCTCTTTTCCTGAATCTGTTATCTTATGGCATGAATGACTCGGGACCACCCTTCGAAGAATACCTTATCTTGCTTTCAGTTGAAGTAACGTAAGTAAAGTAAGTAATCGCCCGCAATATCGCTCTAGTAAAAGTAAATATAGGTATTTAACTAGTTACCCAACAAAGACAGTTGTACTATGTCCATCGAATTGAGAAGATCTAACAAGGTCATTTAACTAAATTCCTCAAGTTCTTGGAGAGCCATATTTTTTAAAGCCCGGTAGTGCTGTGCTGTGGATGTTGTTGTCTGAGCAAAGGTTGAACTAAATAAGAGACAGAGTCGGTTAACGTGTTGGAGGTGAATCCTAATTCCTGTCATTAATCAATCCTGTTTTCCGGATACACCCGAGAGTAATAGATTTTCATACGGAATGCTTTAATCCTCCCGGGCGAGTCTGGTAACAATTGACCGACCCCGAAGGGATGGAAGGCTGGTTGGCCACTTGCCGCTGCACCACCTCCGCCCTACGCTAGGCATACTGTGTGAGATAGAGCTCTTTGCGTAGCTGACCTGGTCATTTAACAGTGCTTACGCAACTTTTCAAGTTGTCACT